ACCATCCAAGAACCCCATAATTCCATGACCTTCAAGGAGGAGTTGCATCTGAAAGTGCCATGTGAGGTAGTTGGAATCATCAAGCTTCACAGTCACCGACGTAGGAACGGTGGAGATAAGAGATGTGATAGGCGATTGCACAATTTGTAGTTGATTGGCAGTCACCATTGCAAAATTGTCGAAGAAGAGTTCTCACAGGAAATGTATCGAACACGTAGAGGGCACGATTGCGCAGACGAAGAATCACAACCCGAAGAACTATGAAAAATTCCCAGATCAGAAGAACACAACAGAGAAAGAAAGAATCTTGAGCGGCGGAAGCAAAAAAATCAACAATTCCAAGATCAGAAAAAAAACCTTTCAAGCACGTAGAGCTTGATCGGCGAATGATACCATGTTAAGCAACATATTAAGTTGCAGTAATGTAATATCACAAAGAAGATGAAGAGGTTTTAGAGATAGAAAGATAGAGAGAGAGAGAGAGAGAGAGAGAGAGAGAGAGAGAGAGAGAGAAATGAATTATATTTATGTACTGCAAAGTTACTGAATTACTCTACTTACAATTGTTATATAGTTATCTATATTACTTCTTCACTAAGACACCTTATCCTACTTATAACAACCATACTGATCTTATAACAACCACACTGATCTCTTGACACATGTCAATGTATCTAACCATCTATTATCTATACTGTTAACAGCTTGGTGGGTTCGAGTGGCTCAGGAAAATCCACGGTGATATCTTTGCTGCAGAGATTATATGACCCACTTGAGGGAGAGGTTGCTCTGGATGGAGTTGCCATTGATGAGCTGCGGCTCAAGTGGCTTAGGTCACAAATGGCATCAGTGAGCCAAGAGCCTTCTCTTTTCTCAACCAGCATTAAGGAGAACATACTTTTTGGGAAGGATGAGGAGGAGGAGGATGGTGGAATGGAGGAAGTGATTGAGGCTGCCAAAGCTAGCAATGCTCATGATTTCATACGTCAATTGCCTCAAGGATACGATACTCAGGTAAATTAACATTCCCTACTAGAAATTAAAACAACGTTAAATTGCACAAATCACTCATGTGAGGTAGAGAAACTCTGGGGTCTAGCCAACCGGATCACGTGATCGTTTTCCTACACACACAAAACACCCTACTCCTTGCATTTTGTGTCTTCTCAAAATGACATATTTGCTCTTGGAATTTAGACTCAAAGTTCAATTTGAACTGAAATTGATAAGAAATATAAATTATCAAGATTGTTTCCTGCATGAGTAAAATATTGAGAGGGCGAGCCTTGGCGCAATAGAAAAGTTGTTCCATTGTGACCGAAAGGTCACGGGGGGACCCTCGCAAAACATAGAGGCTTGTTGGCTTGGGGTTACCTTTTATGTACTCACGAAAACTTATTATCACATGTTATTTGCACTACTAAATTGGTGAAATTTCAAAAGATATGAAGTGCAGGTTGGTGAGAGAGGCATGCAACTCTCAGGCGGACAGAAGCAGAGAATAGCCATTGCAAGGGCAGTAATAAAGAAACCCAAAATCCTCCTTCTCGACGAAGCCACCAGCGCATTGGACTCGGAATCTGAAAGGCTCGTCCAAGAGGCACTCCACAAGGCAACCGTGGGCAGAACAACCATAGTCATCGCACACTGCTTGTCCACGATACAAAACGCTGACATTATTGCCGTCATGCAAACCGGTAACGTCATAGAAATTGGCGCACACGAAGAGCTGATTCAACGCCAAAACAGCCTCTACTCCTCATTTGTCTGTCTCCAACAAGCGATAAAAGATCCAGAAGAATGCACCGCACATATGTCCTTTCACTGCAACAATACTAGTAGTACTAGTACTAGTCTTTCATTATTGGCTGATCGACCGAACTCAAGTCCCAGGGTAGCTAGATTTGATAGTACTAGTACTGCCCCACAAAATCCAAACAGTATAAAATCCAAACACACTTCGACGTTTTGGAGATTACTGCCGATGAGTCGTCCGGAGTGGAAGCAAGCGGTTTTGGGGTGTTTGAGTGCGGTTCTGTTCGGAGCAATTCAACCGGTGTTTGGATTCATCCAGGGGGCCATGTTGTCTGTGTTTTTTTGTGACGGGTTATGACAGGTAAGAGAAATTTCAATTGTTCTATTGGGTTTACTGTATAGTCACTGCCCTGTTCCCTCTTTCCCCGGTCAGATTTGGGCCATTAAGAAGCTCAGGATATGCGAAAGAGTCGATTTAGAATGGTTACCGATCCCGACATGACGTATGGCTAACAGCTGCGGTGTAATAGTAGGTCAGTTCGAGCTTGGATCTGTTTGTGATGCCGTGTCGCCACCAGCACCGGATGGGCGGGAGTCGTTCCGACGACACCGTCTGTTGGGAGGTCTACCTATAGCCTACTCTGCTGATGAGATAGTAACCTCGAGAGAAGTCGATAGCGTTCGATTTAATTATATGTATTACCCTAAGGATATGTGTAGATGGCAGACTTTTAACTGGCAAGCACGGAGCTCCACCCTAGTCACTTCGGCTAAATCTGTTAATCAGTTATCGCGGACAATAATTTTCTCCGGAAGGTCGTCGTGGGATAGTGCCAATCCGAAATACACATTCTCTGTCAGGTCCTTGTAATATAACCAGACCCCTTGTTCCTACAGGCGGACGCCAATTACGGTCTCTGGTTCGCCGGCTGCGACGCAGGCGGGGGCGACCACGGGGGAGGGCGCGGGGCGGCTGGCGCCGGGTGGCCCCCGCGTCCTTGCTTTTTACCCCACCCCCCGGTCAACCCCTCACCCCCTCCCGGCACCCGCATCCCACAGACACATGACCACGCAATCCACCTAACGCCCGCGAACCGTTCCTCTATAAAACGCCAAATGAAAACCCTGAATAAATCAGTTCACTCTCCCACCGCAACTCTCTCTGCATTTCGCTCCGTGCACCCACCCAAATTACTCACCACACCAACGCTCCCCCAAAAATGGACCTCCTCCTCCTGGAAAAGACCCTTCTGGGTCTCTTCGTCGCCGTGATCGTCGCCATCGCCATTTCAAAACTCCGCGGCAAGAAATTCAAGCTCCCGCCTGGTCCCATACCCGTACCCGTTTTCGGAAACTGGCTCCAGGTCGGCGACGACCTCAACCACCGTAATCTCACCGACCTCGCCAAGAAATTCGGCGACTGCTTCCTCCTCCGCATGGGGCAGCGCAACCTCGTCGTCGTCTCCTCGCCGGAGCTCGCCAAGGAGGTGCTCCACACCCAGGGAGTCGAATTCGGCTCGAGGACCCGAAACGTCGTCTTTGATATCTTCACCGGTGAAGGCCAGGACATGGTGTTCACCGTCTACGGCGAGCACTGGCGTAAAATGCGGCGGATCATGACTGTCCCCTTCTTCACCAACAAGGTGGTCCAGCAGTACCGCCACGGATGGGAATCTGAGGCGGCGGCGGTCGTCGAGGACGTGAAAAAGCACCCTGAGGCGGCGAACAGTGGGATGGTGCTGAGGAGGCGGCTGCAGCTGATGATGTACAACAACATGTACAGAATCATGTTCGATCGGCGATTCGAAAGCGAGGAGGATCCCCTGTTCGTGAAGCTCAAGGGATTGAACGGGGAGAGGAGCCGATTGGCCCAGAGCTTCGACTACAACTACGGCGATTTTATCCCCATTTTAAGGCCCTTTTTGAGAGGGTATTTGAAGATCTGCAAGGAGGTGAAGGAGAAGAGGATTCAGCTGTTTAAGAGCTATTTCGTTGACGAGAGGAAGTAAGTTAATTCACTTTATTTATGATTTTTAATTACTTTCATTTTTTCTTTTAATTTTGAACAGTGTTATTTATACACTCTTTTTCATATTTTATGTTTTTTTTTAGAACTTTAACGAAAAGTTTCCGGCTATGTTAATTTGAACAAAAAAATCATATTTTTACACTAAAAAGTTAATCCTGATACTATTTACTTTACTTTTTATATTATTTTTATCGTTAAAAGTCAAAGTTTTCAAATAATTTTCATTAGTTTTCATACACAATTTTTCACTTTATACATGTTTTTTCACTTTCTACACATTTTTGATTAATTTTTATCATTGAATCATCTTCAATTCATTAAATCTTTCAATGAAAATTGAGATCTGTTCGCCAAAAAAGAGTGTGTACAGAGAATCTTTATTTTTGATATATAGTTGGCACATATTTAGTTACAGGTCGGTCTCGCATATAATAGTGAGCGTTGGCAAGAGCTGGACAAGCTTGTATCTAATTAATAAGATTTAAGCCGTTGGAGTTAGGCCTGGTTTGATACGAGATCATTCTGAAAAATGTTTGTATAAAAAAAAAGTCAAGAGTTTTTTTTATGTTTGGTAAACATTTAGTTTCAGTTTTTTTTTACAGTTTTAGGTGAAAAAAAAATAAAAACAAGAAGCTGCCAAATTTAGCTTTAAAAAACCGATTTTTTTTCACATCTGTTTTACATAAAAGTTTATCAAACACTACAATACTATTTTTTTAAAAGCATTTTTATAAAAAAGTTTAACAAACATTCTACAGCTTTATTTCACAACCGTTTATTCTCACAGCACAATAAAAATAATTTTTTGTTTCAAAATACAATAATATCAAACCAGCCATTAATATCATTTGTCGTAGTAATTCACACTCTCAATTTGTAATTCTACGTTAACAGAGATGACAAAATGAGAATGCAACTGAAATTACCCCAAAATAAATTTATTTTGCTTTATGTATTAAAATAACGTGATTGAAAATAACGTGATTGACAAACTGATAGCGTGAATAATAATATAAAAATTAAAAATTTGAATACAATTTTTGTAGTTAAAGTAGTGGATTAATAGTTTATGCAAATGGTGAGGATGTCAACATTCTCCGAATCTCTGATAGTGCTAGCAACGATTATTTTGTTTATTTGTTTAATAAGTGACGAGTTTAAATAATTAATCATATTATAACAATATGTCGTTGCTATTTGAAATGCAACGACTAAAATGAGAGGATGAAAATCGCTAGTCTGACTCATACTTTTCTAATATTCGACCAGGAAACTTTCAAGCACACGGGCTCCAACAAATGAGGGGTTGAAGTGCGCCATTGACCACATCCTCGACGCGCAGCAGAAGGGAGAAATCAACGAGGACAATGTTCTCTACATCGTCGAGAACATCAATGTTGCTGGTGAGCAAACCCTACTCTCATAATGTTAACTCTGAAATTAAAACATGGTGAGAATTATTATTGATACTTCATAAAACTTTAAATTTTACGTAATTAGAAAGAAATATACATTTGTGAAGAGTATAATATGAGATTTTTAGAACGCAAACAACAATTATCTTCACTCATTTACCAAGTTTAATGTTGTGAATGGTTCGTTCGGAAATACTTTTAAAATGATTGAAAATTTTTGATAAAAATATTTTTGAAACTAATCTTTAGTAAAACTTTTAAGTCTATTATAGAAAAATACTTGAAGTTCTTGAAGCACATATTTGATATTTCTTCTAAAAAACATTTAAAATACTTTTGAAATCCATAATCAGCTTCATCAAAAATATTTTCAATCATTTTAAAAGCTATTACAAATGAACATCTATTTGATGATAGGGAAAGGGATTCTCCGAATCCCTTCTTCTTAATCCACAAAATCAGGAAATTCGTACCGTTGAAAATCAATCGGCTACAAATAGGTATTCACTTTAAAAGTTATAATAATTTCGACCGTTAGATCAAATTTAAACTGTATGAATTTCCTAATTTGATGGATTAAGAGGAAGAGATCCGAAGATGATCTTTCCTGAAGATAGAAACCAAATTGCAGGCTGCAGATTAGAGTAAGCTTCTGTGACGAATGTTGACGTGAATATATTAATTTGCGGGCTAACTTTTTGTTCCTTACCTTTTTGTTATATATATATATATATATATATATATATATTTTTTTTTTATTTTTTTTTATTTTTAGGATTTTTTTATAAATATTTTTGTTTTCGTGATAGAGTCACTAAAATATATGAAACATTTTGTATGGTTTATTGACTCCCACGTATGCTATTACTTGATATGTAGTAGAAAACGTAGAGGACCCGATGATGTTACATTACATTGTTTGCTTACGTATTATTGCAAGAGCCACAAAGTTACTATTGGAGACGTGCCCATCTTTAGTTGTCTCATTTTCATCCAGTTGGCATACCAGTGTAGGTCAAATACTTACGTGTCACTAACTATAAATCTTCGTGTGGGACCTGGCTTCTCTGCACAAAATAGAATTTTTGTCAGATCCTTTTTTTAGGAATTTAGAAAATTCTGTAATCATATCGTTTATCGTAAAATGTGCAGTAAAAAATTATTTTAAATTTAAAATTAAATATAAATAATATCTAACAAAAATTGATCATATAATGTATGATAAATGTTCATAATCATAGAATTCTCCGGATTCTCAGAAAAAGGATGGCGAGGATCCTTTTCCCTTGTGTATGGGTCACCAATATATAATGGTGTTCGTGTACGTTGGCACTTCCATAGAAAGGAAAAGAGACAAAAAACTCATTGTTGCGTTTAATGTTGGTATTGAGAAAAATCTAGGTTGAGTGGTTGATGAGTAGGTGAACAAGTATGCTGCTTGTGATCTAAATTTGCTAAACCACTTTGATTGGGCATCCTTTTAAACAATTTGTTGTCCTTATCATTTTTCTAACTTGCATTTTATACGCAACTCGCTTATTTTTACCAATCCCATGACATTAACATGCAAACATGACGTGATATTATTTTATCTATAATAATAAACTCGTCACTTTATCATAAAATGAAAATTGGTTATATCACATGATTGTATTTCAATATCGCAATTTTTCTTTGTAACGAGCTTTGTGCAAATTCATTTAAAGGTTGTTTAATTTTAGATTGCTAATGTCACATTTTTCTGTTGAACAGCTATTGAAACCACATTGTGGTCGATCGAGTGGGGAATTGCCGAGCTAGTGAACCATCCTGAAATCCAGAAGAAGTTGAGGGAGGAACTTGACGCTGTCCTCGGTCGCGGAGTTCAGATCACAGAGCCTGATGTTCAGAAACTTCCCTACCTGCAAGCTGTGA